GATAACCACTGTGATGGATTACCATGTATCAACTCTCTGTAACTTAATTTCTATACCTCATTACAATCATTTTAAAACAGTGTTTGCCTGGAAGATAGGAGACACACATTCATCAATCAGTTTCAGGTTTGAATTAGTATTGCAGCTAATGTAAAACAGATGTGATTTGTTGAAATAGACAATTAATTGTTATTTGGCTGGCTCTTAATACCTACAGTAATGTATATAGATATATTAATGCCCTTATGTTGTCTTTCCTTCCTCTCAGATGCATTATGTCCAAGATAAAGTCTTTGTGGGCCTTGAGCACGCTATCCCAGGGTTTGTAGTCAAAGAGAGGGTCGAGGGCCCTGGTTGTTCGTACCTGCAGCACATCCAGGCTGAGACTGGGGCCAAAGTCTTCCTTAGAGGAAAAGGATCAGGCTGTTTAGAGCCTGCCTCTGGACGAGAGGCCTTTGAACCCATGTACATCTACATCAGGTGGGTGTTGTCTCATGAAATAAAAAAAGAATAAGAACCGTTGGCTGTCAGAGATGATTACTGCTTGTGCATTAATATGAACTAGCCACAGGGGTGTTTTTTTGCAGCATTGTGGGCTCAGTAAACCTAAATGCAGTCTGTTCTCTCTCCAGTCATCCTAAACCAGAGGGGCTCGCAGCAGCAAAAACCTTGTGTGAAAACTTGCTTCAGACGGTGAGTAATTTCCTGTTGCTGTGAAATGATAAACTGCAATACTTCATCCAGGTCTGTGCTTTTCCACTGACAGTCCATTACAAGCTTAAACAATTCCAAATGTATCAATGTCCACTACTAAAGCTTTATTTGGGCTATTTATTGGCTATGGCTAGATGATACAGTAACAAAAATCTTATCGTTATTATTTTGACACATACTACGATTGCAATATAACCATTAATGGAGGACGTGGGCGTGGAGGCTCACATAGTTATTGTTATAGGTATTGTTCTGGATGTGGATTATTAGCAACCAGTTGTTACCAGTCTGACAAACACAGCTGTGTCTGTAAAAAACAATCGAAGATGCACTTCCTTTGGTATGAAGGTTAATTATTTGAGCTTCTACAGATGTGCCATTGAGATAAAACTTATCTACAGTTATGAAACTGTAGATTGTTTTGCATCTTCTATACCACAATTTTAGTTCACAAGTTTTGAGTGGTATTTTCTTCAGATGCAGCGTTTTGCACAAAGTACAAAGATATAGAAGAAGAGTCTTTCTACCAGGAGGTGTAAATGAATATCATGAAATCATTTGTATTGGAAATGAATTGTACTAAGTGTTACACAGTAATAGTACATTTTCATATTTGTGTTCCCTGAACAACTAACAACAACAACCTTACATACGATGTTTCTCTTACTCTAGGTGCATGCAGAGTATTCTCGCTTTCTCAATCAAATGAGCACAATGATGCCAACACAGCAAGGTAAAATATAGCTGGTAGCCTCTCTGTGGTTTAGATCTATCACTTTATTTAGCAACTTTCTCAGCTAACAGCTGTCAAATGTACTGTATATGATTGTAGAGGTCGTTGAAAGAGTCTGACTTGATCTGTTTCCCTCCCCTTACTCATCCAGGCTTTGCACAGCCCCCAGTAGTGAATGGGATGCCTCCACAGCCTCCTTACTACCCCCCTGCTGGATTCCAGCCAGGCTACCCCATGCCTGTACCACCACCCCAGCCACAACCTGTCCTTCCACCGTACGCTGTCCCCCCTCCTATACCTCCCACAGCACCTGCAGGTGTGCCTCCACAGTACCCACTCCCCCCTGCCCACGCCCCTGCTCCCGTTCCGGTTCCAGCTCCAGCTCTTGCCCCTGCCCCTGCACCTGCTTCTGCCTCTGCTCCAGGCACCATGCCACAGGTAGGACCAAACCGTCAAATCTTGCATTTTATAATAATAATAAAACAACTTTATTTATATAGAACCTTTTCATGCAGGGGTTTTGCTCAAAGTTCCTTAAAATAAAGTGAAGAAACAAGAAAACAAATGAAAACCTTAGCCAATACAGTTCGATATAAGCCATCTATCAAATGATTAACTAACAACATAGGCAGCAAATAGCAAGAACGAGTAGAGGATCTAAGATGTCATGAAGGATTAGAAATCAAGAATTAGTAATGTGGGGCGGTCCAAACCATTAAGAGTCTTGTAAAATAGGAAAGGACCTTTTAAATCCCAATTCTAAAAGACACTGGGAGGCCAATGCTGGCTAGCTAAAACTATTTTGCTCTTTTTTTTTGTTCTTGTTAAAAGCCTGGCAGCAGAGTTCTGAATTGAGGTAGTTTCTAGTTTATAGGTTGTTTTGGGAGAACAGTAAAAAGAGCATTACAGTAATCAAACCTACTTGTAAATAAATGCGTGAAGTTTTTCAGCATCTTGTTGGGATAGGAAATAAACCAAATCAAACTGCTTTGTTCACCTTCTTTATGTGGGATTTAAATCTCAGTGTAGCATAATGCCCAGGCTTGTGACTTCCGAGCTAACCTGTGGGACCGAGCCAACAAGTTTGGCGAGAACTAGCTGTTTGTAGACCAACTAATAACATTTCTGTTCTCTCACAATTGAAGAAAGTTGGACTGCATCCACTTGTTTACTGCAGCCAATACTGACAAAAAACCTTATGAACGAGGTCATATTTGTTCTAGTCTAAAGCACCTATGTATAGCATGCAAAGCAATAGTACTTACTATATTGTTTCCCATCTCTGCAGACTCTTCCTCCTGTACCTTTTCCTCCATCAGCTGCAGCGCCACCGAAAGCTCCACCTCCTGCTGCCCCCACCAACCCACCGCAGAAAAGACGCTTTACAGAGGAGGTCCCAGACGAGAGGAACAGCGGCCTACTCGGATACCAGGTAATAAACTCTTCCACGTTTAGAGCCCCTCATCATCCTCTTGTTTATTTGAGTTTGTCCTTTTCTTTTCTCCACCTTATTAGTTTTTTGCCTTTTGTTTGTACCTTGACGCTCTGTGTGTATGTGTGAGTGTGTGTTTGTCTGTGCGTTCACACGTCTGTGAATTATCTACGACCATTTCCTCCTTTCGTCAAATGCTTCACGCGCATTGGTTGAGCTTGCATGGCTGTTTCCTGTTGTTCACTTGCAGTTTACCCGAGTTTCAGAAAAAGGCATTATTAATACTGATGAACTTTAAGTATCTTCCATAGTGGCTGGGAGAAATGTCTGTGTAATCAGACTTGTGGTAAGGCATTCACAGTGACAGATGTCTCACTTTGTTGTTGGTATAGTCATATTTAAGTGTCAGGGCAGGGTTTAGTAGAGGATGTCTGCTAATTGCGCTCGTGTGTTTTTCTGCTCATAGCATGGACCCATTCATATGACTAATTTAGGTGCAGGCTTCCCAGTGGGCAGCCCGGAGACAACAGGACCCCCACCGCCAAGTTCCTCTGGCCCACCGAGTGAGAGGGACAGGTACACAGAGTTTTGTTATATTCGTTTACATTTCATTAATGAAAGAATGTGCCAGGCTCAGCAGGAATAGTTGACTCACATCATTTCTCTTTGCGTTCTGCAGTAGGCAGCTAATGCCTCCACCTCCGTTGCCTGTGAATGGAGTGAGACCCAGGATGGAGGAGAGAAGGGCACCGCAAGGCCCCGTGGGTAAGGGCATTATCCCGTGGACTGACAAATCCCTGCCCAAATCCAAATCCACAGTTCCTGACTGTGGACTGTGCCCCCTTTTATAAGCTCAGCCTCGATCTATTCACAGCCGTAACATAGAGCTGCAAAGAAGAATGTAAATCCTCTCCCGGCCTGTAGGCTGCGTCCAAATTTCAGTGGTTTTACTTGAGATTGTTACATAAAACCCCAAACAGATGTATCAAGACAAATAGTTGGCCCAAAAAGCTTTTATTTCTTTGGATTTGAATAATGAAGCGCTGTTTTTGTGGCAGATTAGATAAACTCAGACTGGCCCTTATGCTTCTTATGATTCTTACAGGATTCTGCTGCTGTGACTAGAAATCTCCCGATAGTGAGACGGAGCTATGACTCGACATCTTTTGTGCATTGTTCAATCTTTTTGTAAAGATGTCTGATAAGTCGAGTCCACCTTACCGTCCCGTTCTGATGACATCATCAGTCTGGTGTATCTGTCTTTTTTTTTTTTTGCTTTCCTCACTAATGAGAATCTCTCCTGTTTTTGTGTTTTTCTCTTTTTCTCTGTGTTTTTCTTCTCTTCCATGTATCTCTGGGGTGATGCCGGATTCTGATTGGGGGTGGGGCACGACTCATCCTGTGACGCCGTCTTTCCTCTCAATTGGACGGCCCTAACACTGTCGCTCCCCACCAACCAATGGCTGCTTTCCAATGGCTGCCCCCCTCCTCTGCTGACAAACTATGATTTAAATCTATTAACTATTTGTTTCTCCCAAAATGTGTTTGGAATAATTAACTTGCACTTGTCTTATTTGAAACATGTTGCTGCTGTTGTTGTTGTTTTTGGTGTTTGTTTGTTTTTTTTCTCTCCCCATATTTCTCTCCCTCCCTCGCCCAAATGTTCCACCTCTTCTTTCTTCTTCGTGCTTCCCCTCTTCCTCTTTCAGAGCCCACAGTGAAGAGACTGAAAACTGGTTTGGTAGCATACACCGGTGACTCCTCTGATGAAGAGGAAGACCACTCAACCTCCAAAGCCTCAGGGCCAGGTAACCCTGGGGCAGTTCCCCCTACCTCCACCTCCTCAGGCTGGACACAGGGCTATCGCTGCCCTCCTCCACCACCCCCTCGTGCTAAAACACAGCCACAGACGCAGTCTATGCCTTTCTGGATGGCACCGTAAAACAGGAAGTCCCTCAGTACTTTGTGCCGAGTCTTACAGGATGTTCACCCAAACTGAGCCTGTCTTTTTCCATCACTCATCACCTGTTCATCACATGGATGACTCTTAACAGCTACATGTTGGTTGCAGTATTATTTTAGTACTTGAGTCCAAATGGACATACTAATGTTTTGGAAAACTTTTTTTTTTTTGGTGCACACATTATAGTTTGAAAATGAACATTTGCAGGACTGATATTCCAAACTATTTTGTGGATGTATAGATGGTCAGATGAGCGATATTCTGCCTACAGTTTTATTTGGAATGGATTAAAAACACATGCCAGGTGAAGTGTTTGAATATAGTGTCTTTGTAAAAACAGTATCACGAGGCAATGATGTTGTACATCAATGACTACTTCTCATTTTATCCCCATCTCTTAAGTACAGATTTTCCTACTTTGTCACTCCCTTAACGTTCCCTTTTCCCTGTCAAAGTCAGTGACACCATCCTTTTCTATTCTGGTCTTTTTGTACAGATCATATTGGACTAATATGTAGTAAAACTATTGAATTTATTTCATGCTTTTATGAAATAAATAAACTTAATTTATTGCTGTGTTTGAGCTTGTGATTCCTTGTAACGTGTTTTCCTTATTAAAGTGTGTTCTGCCACACTTGGCAGAAGTGATCATCGCTAATCAAGTTGGTCACATCTGCCAATTAGCTGTCAACAGTTCTGCCTGCCAAAGTAAATCGTGGATTAAGTGGCCGACTTCAGCTTCAGCATTTATATTTTAAAAATAGACCACTCATCCACGCGTGAAAACCCATGAAAAACATGTTGCCTGTGACGGTTTTGTAATGATAACTTTGAACCAATTTCATTAAAGCAATACAACCTGGACTGTGCATTCTTAATATGAACAAATATCACATTTAAAAACTATGTTAAAAATAATGTACACAAAGCAGTATAGCATGATGAGCTACTAATGCTGTTAGGAAGGACTGAATGCTGATATGGACACTGCAGAGTTCAGACCATCTCAATCTCTGGCTCTCTCGGAGGGTTTTTCTTGTTGTACTGAGCGATGCGGCTCTCCATGATTGGCCGGAAGTGGCGAATCAGTCCCTGTAGAAGAAAGATATAAAACAAAGAAAATACATGTTAAAATATAATTTAGTACTTGTTTGAACTTGTAACATCAGTGAGTGTTTAATAGCTTCCAAAGATGTCACCTGCACAGGCCAAGCAGCTCCGTCTCCCAGGGCACAGATGGTGTGTCCCTCAATCTGCTTGCTTAGCTCCCAGATCATGTCAATCTCTGAAACTGCTGCTTCTCCTCGAACAAACCTCCACATCATTTTATCCATCCAGTCAACTCCTGAGTGAGAGGACAACGAGAGAAAAAAGTACTCATGCTGAAATTGGAGCACACTCGGACTTATGGCAAATACCCACGTGAAGGGAATTGAGTATTATTCCTTTAATAATTTAAGTGCATTTTGTTTTAAAGTACTACTTAATATTCTCACCAATGGCACATATGTAGTAATCTGTAGGTACTAAAGGCTAAGATTTCAGTTGTATTGATGGTGATCTTTTTGTATTTAACACCTTCATCACCTTTTGTGGATGTGCACATAACTATTCTAGACTATTAAAAGAGAGAAGGGGCCACAGAAAAAGTGTTGGTTTTAATATGAATCAGGGTGAGGTGATTTTTTTTGTTAAATACAGTTGCAGTTCCTTACCCTCTCTGCAGGGGGTGCACTGGCCACAGCTCTCATGTTTGTAGAACTCAACCAAACGGGCGATGGCTCGAATCACATCAGTCTGGTGGAAAAATACAATTCTCAGATTATCTTGTCTTGTCTCTGAAGGCGCAGAGTATTTTGTCATGTATATTATTCAGGGGACCAGCTTACCGATTTATCCATAACTATGACAGCTGCAGTTCCCAGTGCAGTCTCTGCTCGGACCAGGTCATCGAAATCCATTAAAACGTCATCGCACACATGGCGAGGGATGATGGGAGTGGAGGACCCCCCTGGGATCACTCCTAATAGATTGTCCCAGCCGCCCCTCACTCCTCCTGCACCAATCACACGAGAAGAGAGAGAAAGTCATGTCAACATCTCAAAGATAACATCAACACAGAGTGGGGACTGTAAACACACACCTGCGTGTCTCTCTATTAGCTCCCTCAGCGGAATAGACATCTCTTCCTCCACCGTGCACGGTGTGTTCACATGACCGGAGATGTTGAACAGCTTTGTCCCAGAGTTCCTCTCTCTCCCAAAGCTGGCGAACCAAGCACCGCCTCGACGACAGATCTCAGGCGCCACAGCAACTGTCTCCACATTGGAAACTGTTGTCGGGCATCCAAACACCCCTTAAGGTAGAGAGAGCAAAGCAGTGAATAATATCCACTTAAGGACTGTAATTAGAGTATAACCCTTTTTTTCGTTGCAGTTTCTTAAACCATAATTAACCCCAGTAGGAAACCGGATGTAGGAGCTTTAACCTCACCTATGTCTGCAGGGAATGGCGGCTTGAGTCGGGGTTTCCCTTGTTTGCCCTCAAGAGACTCGATGAGGGCCGTCTCCTCCCCGCATATGTAGGCTCCGGCTCCCCGCATCACAAACACATCAAAGTCATAGCCCGAGCCACAGGCGTTCTTCCCTATCAGCCCTGCCTTGTATGCCTCATTAATAGCCACCTGTTTGAAGAGACAGCACATAGCATAAAACACACAGCATGTATGGATTGACCGACGAGACATCTACCTGCGCCTTTGTATACCTGTAGATTTGATGACTCGTTGTAAAACTCTCCTCTGATGTAAATGTACGCAGCACGAGCGCCCATGGCTCTCCCAGCGACCAGGCAGCCTTCTATTAGCTTATGGGGGTCATGACGCATTATCTCGCGGTCCTTACATGTCCCAGGCTCCCCTTCATCAGCATTCACCACCAGGTACTTAGGTCTGGGAAGAACAGGAAGGAAATAAACACAGAATACACTGTCATTACTGGTGTGGACAGAGATGAATGTCTCAAGTGTCTCTGATCTATATTATTTATTTTCCACCTACCTGCCATCGCTGGGTTTGTTCATGAAGCTCCACTTCATGCCGGTGGGGAAGCCCGCTCCTCCTCTGCCTCGGAGCCCGGAGATTTTCACCTCATTTAGGATCCAGTCTGATCCCTTCAGTATGATTTCCTTAGTCTTGTACCAGTCTCCTCGTTTGAGAGATCCCTTGAGTCTGGTTGGAAGAGGAAGAGGGAGAGAAAGAGAGAGAGAGAGTATTTATACTGAGTTTCAGGTCATGAGATAATATAAAATAATAAATCTTGTGTGTTTTTACCTCCAGTCATGACGTCCATATAAGTTAGTGAATATCCGGTCTTGGTCACTCAGAGGCCCAAATTTGGTCTTACTTTGCTTCACCTGGTGACAGAAAGGAAGAGAAAAGAAAGCGGTCATGTGCAATAATGTTACTGCAAAGATGGATGCATGAAAATGATCCATCCCTGCAACTAATGTCAGACAATAGTGAAAACTTTCAAAGCCCAAAGTTATGTCTTCAAATGTCTTTTTTGTACAGTCCATAGCCCAAAGATATTCCGTTTACTATCATTTATGACAAAGCAAAGCATCACATCCTCACATCTGAGAAGCTACAACCAGCAAACATTTGGCATTTTGGCTTTAAAAAATTACTAAAACTATTATTTGATTATCAAAATAATCAAAATAGCTGGCAAGTAATTTTTGTCTAAAACTATAATGCATCATGGAAAATCATTTACACACATATGGAGGTCTCACATACATTTTGTTTTACATGTGAATATGTGGAATTTTGTGTTATGAGTTTGGAAATGTGCCTCCTTTATTTATAGGTTAACTTGTTAAACAGATTTCTGCCAAATTTTAGGGAATTCAACTGTATTAATTGATTTAAAATGAATGGTTTAAAAAAAAAAAAAACAACTGGTACAATTCCAATAGTTTCAAAATAACCATTATATGTTAAAACTTTGTGACATCATCTGGGCACATTGCAGAAATCAAACAGACCTGAAAACATTCAATTAAATTGGTCTAGTGGGACAGCATAATGAAAACACTTGGTTTAGTTGGATAATGTGGTAATAATTGATTGATATTGATTGCCTTTTCATCTTCATAATTGCAGTGATCACAAAAACATGTCTGCCTTATCTTTTTATATCATATATAATTGTCATATAGAACATATTTAGGACAAATTCATCAAATTAAAATATCTAATTAAAAAACATCATCCCCTTTCTTTCTGCTTGGGAAATGTAGTTCCATTTAATAATCTTCTTTGATTACTGACTAAAAACTCACTTGCTGCTTTCTACTACTACGTGTCGAAACTCACGCATACCTGTATATGAAAGTATCCATGTAGGTTAACGTAGTGCGTTGTGGATAGCAGTGTAGTGAGTGCAGGCCTACCTGTGGCTGTGCTGCAGTGCTGTAGGTCAGACGCGGAGCGACCTGACGCACCACAGCTCCCCACAGCATCCGCCCAGGTAGCATCCGCCCAGGCAGCATCCTGCAGGAGCCCGCAGACTAACACCTCCAACAAACCGGTGTGTGCTACAAAGCTGCCCCCTTTCCAGGATCTCCCGTTTGACTGCTCACACAATCAAATCGATTTCTGAAACCTCTGCTGCTGTCGAAGTGCGGGGCCTTCTGGTTCAGCTTAATTAGACTAAAGAGGATTAACGAACCACGTCACATCCGATCGTTCCCGGCGGCCCGTGCGGCACCGGGCAGGTACCCTATGCACGTGCATGCACACAATTAATTGGTCGGTATCAAGGTCACTAGAGGCGCATTCATTAAGGGAGTTTGTGCATGATTTAGAGGGATTTAAGTGGATTACTAATGTGAAAATAACCATTAAATGTATGCAATGTACACTCAGGCCCTGACCTAGACACCAGGCCTTTTCACCCCCAGAAAAAGCACCGGTGTTACTGATAACATTAAGACTTTGTAAGTATCCCAGTAAGCTGTGACAGTGAACCAGGACCCTGAAACTGAAGCAGCTAAATAAGAATAACAAGTTCCGCCATTGTTCATTTCCTGATTCACACCTGTGCTTTCCCTCCTGTGTCTGACATGTCAAAATGTCTTGTGTGAAAAAAGCCTGTTTCTTTCCACTCAGTCACATTTTTCCATTATTAGCAAAGACCATGATGATCTTATAGTAGGATAGAGAATGATAGGTTTAAGATTGAGGAAGTGGTAGTGGAAAATTCCTATCCCCCTCAAACTATCAGGAAGTGAGCAGTCCAAAAACACTAAGGGGTATTTTAAGGTGGTATCTAAAAAATAAATGTAATCTTATCTCTTAAAGATCCTCTGGTTCAAAAGAGTCACATTGTCTTAAAGTTATTAATAGAGTTTGACTGATAAATCACTGAGCTGTTGTTATTGCATGATTTTGCTTTATCACTGATAGATTCGATTATCTACAGTATCGGCCAATGACTCATAATAACTCATGATGTCAGTAGAGAAATGACAAAGGTATGTTGAATGCAACTGTAAATATCTTGGCTCTTGAATTACCAAATGTAGGGTTACTTTCTATATGTTTATGTTATGGTTTAGGTCTTTTAAAAAAAAGAGAATATTGACTGATTGTTACTTGATTTTTTAAACTCTCAAATATGGATATAGGAATCAGCCTAAAAGTTCCAGTATTGATCGATCGGTCTCTACCTGCTAAAGCCCTTAAAGAGTTGTTTTTGTAATATAAATCAACAAGAGAATCACAGAAAACAGCAAGCTTAGAGATCTTTATTTATTTTCTTTACATTAACTGAAACAAATGATGGGAAAATTAATTCATATTTCTGAGAAGGTTCCACTAAAAACTGAAAAACAAAAATGTATCCCTGATAGCGGGGTCCTCTGCTCAGACCGGACCCCATGTCCCTTCACCAAAGCCAAGAAAACAAACAGCTCATATAGAAACACACACACTTCACAGCTGGCATCAGTTAACCCTCATTCATTCACAAAGCTCTGACTGGGAACACCAACGCCCTTCATGAAAAGGACCAACTGTCATACTGCCATTCCAGTACGACTGGTTCCAGTAAGGCCAGTAGTTTACTTACGTCACTATTATTTCCCTATTTTTTTAAATCTCATAATAGGTTTAATTAATTTGGTTTTCAAATGTCAAATCATGCGATACAAAATCTATAAAATTTCTTCTTTTGAAACTACTGGTCTTACACTTACACGAAGGGTGTCAATCGCCCTACAGCACCAAACGATTTCTTCCCATTTTATGTTTTGTATAATCACTTAGTGCATTGCTCAAGGTTTCCTGAGAATAGTTGCAGCACAAAAAAAAAAATCTAAGGCAACTTCATCCCAATATATATTATATTGACTATTACTGTACATTATGCAGGAGGAAGAATGTTCAACGTATGTGGGTTTTAAAGAAATATAGTTAATTTCAATCACAATCTTAAATTGTACCAAGTGAGTTAATGGACTAGATATTGACGGTCAGACAAAAAGGCTTGAAGCTCTCAAATATCATAGTGCAAATAAACTGGAAATAAAAAAAAAAGGTTTACTACACAACAAGGAGTGGATAGTGCACACAAGGCCAGACCAGCGCGACTGCTACACCAGGTTCTGACTACGTGAGTTTCAAGAGAATTGGAAATAAAAAGAGGACTACTGTCACTTAAAGCCATTAATGATTGCATTACACCCTGCAAAGGCCTTAATGCACTGGTCCTTGGAAAGCATGATGAAGCTAAAAAGGTTTTTGGTCGAAGATAGATTACCTCAAAAGATAATGGCCCCTTTAGACACAGCGGTGGCCGATCTATAAGAACTGCCATGCAATAACATGTGATACAGTACTATACATGTTGAATTAAAAACAGAGAAGCTTGCTGAAAAATGTCAAACAGCAAAAGTCATTTTGTGTTCCAGTTACATCGAAGGTTGTAAACCCCCTCCTGACTTCTTCTTTGCTCTGTTCCCTTCTCTCAACCCCGGAGGATGGAATGTGCCTGTTTTATTGCAGTACCTGACGGGGTTAAATGTGCAAAGAATGCATTCGAGGAAGAATCGCCAAAAGAAGACACGCAGCCCATAAAAAGGCGTTTAGGTATACGGAGATGTTGAGCCAAAAACTTTAGCGCTATGCAGCTTCTTGTAAGACTTGATTTGTGCCCAACCCTGGATTTGGTCTCACAAAAGAGTTTCAGCAGAAGAGTCATAATAAATAACAATAAATAAATAAGTACAGAAAAAAAGGGGCAAGCCATTCGTCCCCTCAACTTGCTCCTTTTCTATCTTTTTTTTTTTTTTCAAACAATGATTCCAAACGAGTGCATTGGAAGACTGAAATCCACAGCCTTTGGGAAAAAGAAGAATCGTCTTCAACATAATCAACATCAACTCATCGACCCAGACTTTGTCTCTTTTGGTCAGGCATTTAACTCAGAGCTTTACGGCTCTGAAACACTCAAATATGGAAGCAGATTCTTTCTCATGGCTATCAAAACAGTTGGGAAGAATCTTTTCTTCAGACCCAACATTGGCTACAATTCACCTCTCTCCTCTCCTGTTAACTTAAGATTTAAGAGAACAGTTCAACTAAAATCTTTGGTTTAAGCACCAAATCAAAAGCAAAGATTCTACCACAAACAAGAAAAGACACAAAGAATATTATTGCTTACAATGTACAGAACAAGTTGGAATAATTAGACTGCATTTCCACTGATAACCACCAGAGGACAGTGGCCACACAAACTCATTCTTGTGATCTAGGCGATATGACTTCTGAATTGCACCTGAATCAATATATTTATGTTGTAACTAAAATATACATCTTCAAATATCCATATATGTCGCAGCTCTGGATTTTAGTTTGCATAGTGAAAAGCATCCCAGTAACCACACACTCGACACACTCATGTCCAGCTACAAAAATCAAATCAAACATCTCAAACCAGAAAAAATACATAAAAATAAACAGCAAACGAGAAATAAAATTCAAATGACAAATTAAATCAAATGCCAAGAGCCAGAAGACAAACATTTAAAATATCTCAGAAAACCCGTTTTCCATTTTTTTCGTTTTTATCATTTAGTTGTTTCTTTTTTTAAGCGCTCTCTATATGGGAGCAGCAGGTCATTAGTCCAGCCACCTGAGTGAGATTTTTTTTAACTGTGGATGCTTTACCACACAGACACACACACTTATACACACACACACACTCTCTCTCTCTCTCTCTCTTTTCACTATTCCTCTTCCTCCGCTTCCTCTTCTCCAATTTCCTCTTCCACATCGTCTGCCCATCGGTCACGCTGCGAAGCCGGCGAGTGGGTTCCTCCCGGGTCTTCTCCCTCGGCCTCTCTGCCCCCTCGCAGCTCCAGACCTCGCAGGAAGAGCTCAGGGTAGCCGGCCAGCCTGCGAGGCCCAAGCTGAGCCAAAGCTTGAAGGGCGAAAGACCGCTCCCTCTCGACATCAGCTGGAAACATCAGCGGTGGTCCAGACCCGCTCCCACCATCCAGCACCGTGTGTGGGAGGAATGCCGAGGAGTGGGCTTGTAAAGACAGAGCCTCCAGTGGATTGGACTGCTCCCTTCCGCTTCCATCCCCTCTCCCATCCTCCCCATGCTCAGGCCCACGTCTGGGCCGGCGTGTGCGCAGCTCCAGGCAGCTGTGTCCCTTGCGGTGACGCTGGAGGTGGTCCTCTCGGGCGAAGGCCTTGTGGCAGAGTGGGCACTCGAAGGGCCTCGCCCCGCTGTGGAGGGACAGGTGGTTTTTGAGGTCATATGAGTGGAGAAACCGGGCAGGGCAGTGCGGGCAGGGGTAGGGGCGCTCGCCTGTGTGCTTCCTCATGTGAATCTTCAATTTATCATTCCTAATGAAAGAAAGAAGAGGCAGAAAGGGAAGAACGACAGCAGCAAAGTATTATTAAAAGATATAGTCAGGCCTAAATACATCAAACCATTTTGTTTTGTGCACATTAGATGTGAGAAGTCCATGTACCGGGTGAAACGGACTCCGCAGGCAGAGCACTGGAAAGGCTTCTCTCCAGTGTGTGTCCTCATGTGTCGGGGCAGTTTTCCCGCTCCATGGATGATCTTCTGACAAACAGGGCACTGCTGGGGCGTCTGAGACTTCCTTTTCCTCCCACCTCCCGCTGCTGACACCGCGGCTCCTCGTTCAGCTACAGAAGTAGGCATAGAGGTGCTTCCCATCAGCATACCATCGTCGCCGAAACCCTCCATGTCATCATCCTCTGACAGCTTGTCATTCAAGGGCGGGACCGGAGGTGGGTGGGCTATACGGGGCCAGTGAAGGAGCCCTCCATTTAGTGTGGCCCCTCTCCCGTGCTCTCTGATCGCCCTGGGATCTCCGTTCTGCCCAGATTTGTGGTGAAGATCCTCCTGTTCGGGGCTCGGTGGCTGGGTAGACGGCAGGGAGCGGAAGCTGTCGGAGGCAGGTGAAGGATGCGAGATAGGAGAAGCAGGCGGCGGGTT